AATCGTATTGTACTTCATCATTATTTTACAAAAAACAATTAAAATCCGTGTAACACACGGCCTCTTGTCGCTTATTGCAAGGTTTTCTTCTCTAAGGTATTGTTAAAAGCATATTTTGAAATGGTTTTGCCCCAAAGGTGGCCTAAACAAGTGAAAGTTGAGTTCTGCTTCAGTGCTGACATCACAACAAGGGGATAAAATGCATGAAGTATGCTATATTTACACAATTACATGTTTTCCTCAAAATAATAAAACATTCAGCTTTAATTTTATATCAATATGCTAATAATATGCTTAGATATAATATGCTAAGACTTTAATATATTTAATTTAATGAGTTATTGCAAACCATCAAACATGCTCAATTGGATGAAAGATTGTGCTGTCAGAGCTCGATAAATTATTAATGTCACTAATTCTAAATTCTTAAACACTATTAGTGCCTTTTCCTAGTTTGACTCAAATCATCTGTAGTAGTGAAGCCCAGCTGCTTGAGCGCTGTGTGTTGCTATTAAAAAATCAGTGATTGTTGCCCTCTCATGCTAACACAGTTTTTTTATGTCTTTTAAAGTAACACCTTCAGCACCTGCAGCAGACTACACTGGACAGCGCTCCAGGGAGACCTATAGATAAATCAATGAGGAGTAAACTAAGCAATAGCAAAGTGGAAAGCTACAGTTCCCCTCGAGAGTCTCCACTGTAATAACAACGCACAAGCTGTGCGAATGAGAAAGACAGCCAAGAGACTACAATCATGAAGGAATCAGAACTGAATATACAATGTATATACTCCTGGGCAAAAAAAAAGCCCAAAATGGTAAAACATTAAGCTTTTAATGGTCTTAACAACAAATCATTAATCAAATAGATAAAGTAACTTAATGTGGAATATCTTATCTGTTTGATTTCTTTAAGTGTTGAAGTTTTGTGTGTAAATTTGCAGACAATCTTTTACAGACAGAAGAGTCAGTACTTTTCCATTCAGCATTGATGGCCTCAAAAAGTTGAAAAACATTGCCGGGTTAATTTGTGTTTATAGGGAGACCAAATATTTTCTCTACGGTTTTTCTCTACGGACTCTGACTAGACCAAAACCATCAGTAAAAAACAGCCCTTTTTTTGCCCAGGAGTGTATGATATATATATATATATGCACAAATGTGGGCAGCTCTAGCCAAATTACACATTTGATGATTGAAGTAAGCTGTGAATCCTTGTTTACATGTCAAAACTAGTAAATACATTCTGATGAGGCTTGTTTTGTCCACATATATATTTAATACGAAATGCACTGCTTATTAAAAGGAAAAAAATCTCTCTTTAGGGTAAAGAATAATAGACTATGAATAATTATTTGTTTGACAGCCTGTATTAAAAACAAAGCTAGGAGTTCCCAAACTTTTGACGAGCAGCTAGAAACTCCAGCAAATCAAAAACATTTTCAGCATCCTAATTAGCTCCTTTGGTTCTTAAACCAGGCTAGAGCATTAATATCCTCTCTCAATGTGAACCACAAGTCAGGCTATGGGGTCTAATGGAGATTCATCGTGGCCCTTTCCAGCACTAGCCACATATACATAATGAGAGGGAGTGTTCTACTGCTACTTCCAGACGCAGCAGAAACGCACGCTCCACACGTTCACGTCTTTCCCCTTCGACGACCCCTGCTAACCTCCTCCGAGAGTCTGGCATCTGTCCATCTTCCCCCCCATAAACGAGTCTGGATTTATGATGAGCGCAATCATGGTTATTTATCGGCGGTGCTGTCGAGTGCAGAGAGAATATGATTGTGGCTTTTTGCCTCAGCAAAGGTTCTTTCAGGCGTCTACAGTAAGGGGACTGCATTAAAGAGCTGCAGGTATTGATCTGCGTTATTTTCAGAAAGGCTGCATCAACTGGATATAAAATCGTTCAGTGGTTTTGGAAGAAGCAAGGCCTGCACTTACAAAAGAAAAGTCTGATTTTAAGTGTACGTGTGAGTTTGTGTGTGTCCTTGTGTAGAAATTAATTGTGTACAAGCCCTTTTACAAGGGTGAGCCAGACGTGCCACCAGTTTCAGGCGCAAATGCACACCGCAATCATAGAAAAAAGTACACAGGAAAAAAGAGTTGCACAAAAAACCGGTGGAAAATAATTGGAAGTGTGGCTGATTACATATTCCATTCCATTGAATAATGATTGGGCAACTAGTGTTGTGTAGCAGTAGTGCCTCAATGCATGTTTGGGAGTAACACTGGCAGTAAGTAGTGCTAGTGGTTAAATGGAGATACAGGCTTCCAAGACATGCTGAAAGTTTTGTTTACCAACAAGACAATACTGGTTCAACTCTCATGACGTATACATGAGAGAATACCAGAGGTCTGCACGAGGATGACCCTGAAGCATGCACAATAAATGTGTCGTTAAAGAGAAAACATGCCACTCCTCCTGCTATCATAGCTCAGGCTCTGCGCTGTACGTGACCAGTGTGCTTTCTTTCTGATACACAACCAGGTCATAATGTCCATAAAGACGTCCCTGACTCATTTGGAATTTTAAACAATCCTCTTTTAGTGAGCTTTCTTCACGGCGAACAGTTAGTAAGGCTTTCTTGTATGCATACTACTATAGACAAGGACAAAGAGAGAGAGCGTGCACAAGAGAGAAAACGAGTTGGGCTTGGCTCAGGAGATCTCTGGAGAAGATGCAGTGCAAAATGGGCCTAGAATTGGCCGCAACATGCGGTCACAATTCATATTATATTGCTTTCTAATTTCTATTTTTGATACAAAGTGCAATTATACTCGTGTAAAAGGAAAAGAATATCTTAAAACGTCCTTCCATTAACCCTTTTGCTGTGTTTATACTATACTATGATGATAGATGAATTACAACAAACTGTATATAAACCACAGCAGTCAGCAGAAACGCTCTGTCAAGTGATACATTTTTCCAACTTTAGCCATCAGTTGTTGCCAACATTAATGTGCACTCAAAACGCTTTCTAGGATAAAACAGTGGCCACACACCATCAGCACATGGGCACGAATGCTACCTTTTTAGCAATGCTAAAACCATGGCACCCAGTTTACATGGCGGCACGCTGCCATCATTTCATCACCGATTACACAGATTCTGCTATGAGGCATGAAACTACATTTTTCTGTTGTGACAATGAAAGTATGTATTTTTATTATTAATTATTTCTCACTTATTCAATTATTTCTATTCTAATTCAACTGATATCACATAGGTGGGTAGAAGATATTGTACTAAGGAAACTACTGAATATAAGGAAATAATATTGTTTACTCACATTTTTATCAGTTCTTGACACTGAAAAAATGTCATAAGTGCAAACCTGCTGATCCAATAAATGTAATGACTGCATTTATATTGTGTTGTTGCACTGAAGTCACATAACTAAACAACAACAAGCGTTAAATAGTGTGGAAGCTCTGTAAGTTGTTTACAAACAAACATCATACCAAACCACCAGTAAAGCATGAGGGTTACTCAGATCATGTTGCCAAATGAACACAGTAAGTCCCCTGCATGTGTCAGTCTTGGCAACCTTTCCTTCACACCGGAGTGTGTGAGATCAGGCTGCTCTTTGATTGGCTGATTGCTCTGGACAGGGTTAATGGGCCGGAATGAAGGCTGGCACACACCGGCGAGTGTAGTAGCCAGACCGTCTGTCAGTGTGTGTATAGCAACGCCATTTAACACCCCAGAACACATACACAGAAGCAGACGGGAGAGGGACTAGGCAGGCCAAGTCTGTTTGGAAATAGCTGGCTTCCAAGGATTATTAAGCAAACAAATTGGAGGAAAGTGTAAAGACACACGTTGTAATTACGCACTCTTTTTAAGTGCTTAAGCCAAATTGTTTTATTCGAGTTTAGCCACTCTAAATAATTAAAAACACTCTGATTTAAACATTCACGGTTCACAAGATCTCCCTAAGCAAATGGCCTTTTCTTGAGAACAAAAAACAAAAAAAAAAATGCTTAATTGAACAGAGTTCTAGCAAGAGTTTTCAGAAGCTTGAAAAGCTTAAATTTAGATAGTTTGGAGTGACTGTCAGAACTTTAAAGCTCTCTCTGGCCCTAAATGAGCGTCAGTGTCTACCACTGACGGCTCAGGTTTATACCAGAGCTGAAGTTCTGTGGTCTGACTGAGGCTTGGCCAATTAAAAAAAGACTTTTTAATGAAACCTGGCTGCCGTCAGAAATGAAGGCGGTAAGGCTGGATGCAATATGACAGGGCTTATGGAGGGATCGGGAGAACGGCGCTCATTGCAGAAAAGCTGTATGTCATTGAGGCCTGATGGTAAAGCTTCTCATAAACCCAGTCAATACTGTATAACAGAAAACGTACAATGTCTCGTTACTCAAATCCATCACAGCACTGTAAAACGGTAGGGTAAAAATCACACTGAACACCTTCTTTACAAAGATTTCCTATTTCCAAGACTCCCTGACAAAGGCACGGCCTTGTGGCACCATAAACCAAGTCATGTTATCATCAGTGAAAATCTAAACCTACAATGTGTTTAAATCTGAAGCAATGATGCACATAAATGTACTGTAATGGTATTATAATTAGAGCTGCAACAATTATTAGAAGTTGGTGAAATCGATTAGGAAAAAAACGTTAACATGGATTAGTTGGGATTTTAGTAAATAATAGTTAACACATTTTTTATTAAAACTTTATGATGTTCTGAAATGTTGATATGATGCAGTTATTCCACTGCCCTACAGGGGGCTTTGGAAAGGAATATGGTTTCAGCAACTTTTTAAAAGGAAAGAACAGCAGGAACCATACTAGATTAGCAGATAAATTTGAAAGAAGACTCTGAAAGCAGATTTTAATGAAGGGACAAAGCCAAAGTATCTGAATGTATTGCCAGTGAAACCTTAGTTAAGCTAAATATTGGTAATATGGGTAAGTAACAGCTTGTTAAAGCCCTAATTACAAATCATTAGATACAGATGTGTTGTATACCTATTTCTTACCTGTTGAGCCAGTGGCTCAGGTCAGGCAGGTGTGCCCACTGCACTCCGGTCTGGTTCAGTGACCTCAGAAGTCGACAGCAAGCCAGAGTCAGGATTGGAGTGGCCAGGGCCAACCACTTTTCTGACCCCACACTAACCCCCAGCTCTGCCGCTGGTGAGAAAGTGACCTGGGACGTGTCCTCCTCCACTGTAGAGGGCAGAATAGGGTCATCCTCTTCATCATCGCCTGGCCGTCTTCTTTCCCTGAAGTACTTCCTGCAGACGTCCTGGAAGACGGCCAGGCAGAGGGTGTTGAGCAGGAAGTACCAGGTCTGGTGCTCCTCCTCTACGAAACTGCTAGCGCCCAGGCTGAGGGTGTGGCCGACCGTACCGGTCAGCAGCAACACGTCCAGCTCAGACAGAGTCCAGTCTGATGATGTCTGAGTGAGAGAGAAAGAGATATTTGAGTTCAAACAGCAAACCTGAGTTTATGCCTGAGTATTTAGATGTGCTTATTGAATTGCTGAGAGCTAATTGAAGAAATGCATTAAGTAATTAACAAAAATAAAGGTGTTAAGAGTCTGGAATGTATGCAAGTATAAAAGGTACTTGGAGCCAATCGAGCTGCACTGAAAGCACCAGTAAATTTCCTTCAGTGCAGTAAAAGTGGTGCAAAAAAGGTCAGATTACTCAGCTCCTGATTATTTCCCAGCCTTCAAATCAGCCTGAACAACTCCCCACAACGCCTAGTGAAAGGATTCCAGAAAATGCTCTCAAATAGATTCCATCTGATAGTTCACTACAGTGCTGCATCCAAAAATCGACCCCAGATTGCAGCTTTTGACAATCAGATGAAAAGGAAGGGCTGATGGGGAAGAGATGTTGAGATGTGGAAAGAGTGAAAGGGAGAGGTTTGGCAGAGGTGCAAATGGAGAGATGAGGCAGAAAATGGCTACTGAATGAATCTGAGGAGAAAACAAATATATAAGAGAACCAGAAGAACTCAGTCTGACTGCGAGCAATACAAAGACGCAGGCTTCTTCAGAGCCAACTGTGACCAACTACCCGTTCAGTTAGACAGCACAGACAACAACAAAATAAGAGAGCTCACAAGCTGTGAGACAACCCCCCCCAACACACACACACACACACACACACACACACACACACAGACTCACAGACTCACAATGATGTCCTCAGTGTGTTATTAAGGAGCTGCTGAGAGCAAAGGTTGGAAGGTTGAGCAATAAAAGGTGGACACACACAGCTAGTGCCTCCTGCAGACCACCGTAAACACATTGACAAAAGAAATGTTCCCAGAGAGAGAAGGAGCTAACCCTCACACACACTGCTGCTCTGGACATTATCTACTGCAGGAGCAGGTTTCCTTTAAAGGTATCTATTTAAACAGCAACACTATAACTTGTAACCATAAATGCTTACAACCAAAAGCTAAACATTTATTTAGATGTACAGAACATGCACACAGATTCAGAGTCTATTAATCATCATCAAACAGCAGCGATAGAAGAGCAAGCTCTTTACATTCTCTACATGCCTTAGGGGCTGGTGAGCATATGCTGCTCTGCCTGCCGACGTCAATAAAAGCAGTTAGAAGTTTTCTGACTCATATACTGTACAACACAGACACACCACACAGACAGGCAGGCAGACAGACAGATGGACTCACAAACAAATGGATTCACTGACAGACTGAAACACAGACAGACACACACAGACAGATAGAAGACACACATGTGAAGGAAGACTCATAGACACAGACAGACACTCACAGATAAACAGATACACAGACAGACAGATGGACTCACAGACAGACAGAAACACACAAAGACAGACACACACAGACACATACAGACAGACAAACACACACACATACTCATAAACCAACACAGACAAACAATTACACACACACACACAGATATACAGACAGACACACACACACATACTCACAACACAGACACTTACAGACACAGACACATACAGACAGACAGATACACACATTCTCATAGACCAACACAGACAGACACTTACACACACACTCACACACACACATACACGCATGTATGCGCACTCACAGTCCTTGCGCTGTGTGGTAATGAAATGGTAATTGGTCACTGTGTGGCTGGGCAGTGTTTATGATGGATATGGTCCTGTGTGCAGCCGTGACACCAGCAGTGTGTAGCCGATCCTCAGGGGTGTGACAAGGCCTCTCCGCAGCACCCAACACACTGCCATCCATCACCTATGGCAACGCCGCGCACAACTTAGCCAGGGGGAAAATGAATTGTGTAACCAACACGCTGATGTTTGTGTAAACACAATCTGGAGGAAAGAACGAAAGAGAGAGAAACACAGAAAAACACAGAGAGACCACAACAGAGGAGGAAGAGAGATGGGGGGAGAGGAGAGGAGAGAGAGAGATAGAGAGAAAGAGAGAGGGTGAGCCTCTCCCTTTCTCTCTGAGTTCTACTCGATTCCCCTCAATGGGAATATTTGGATCCCACAAGTGTTTGCCTCAAACTGACTAGAATGCATCCACTCTGAGAAGGTTCACCCAAGTTTCCTCTCTGCTGTTTGTTTGGGTCTCTGCTGGCTTTGTTTTTTGATGTAGGAATAAGAACAAAACATGGCAGAGCCAAAAAAAGGGAAAAAAGCAGCTGGGCTTGCTATTTATATGCTAATGCAGGCACGTCCATGCGGCTGGTGAGCAGGAGATTCCCTCTGACGATAGGCTGCGTGTGCTAATATGAGGGCAGTCAGAGCACTTGATGTCCCCTACCCTCCGGCCACCGGCATCTTTATCTAGAACCGAGACTTGAAACAGCTGGAGTTCTCCTTACAAGCAACAGAGACGAAATCAGTGAGCCTCCCAGGCTCCGTTTAAATGTTCTGGCAGAGAAACAAAGAATAAAGGCCTTCTGATGAAATCTCTGTCTGTCTCTCTTTGCCTCCTTCTTTTCCTCTCTCAATGGCAGAAGCCTTTGGAGGCCTTTAACAGCAGATGATGTGTTTATCTATTCTGTTGTCTTCACCATCTTCATCATCTTGATATAAACGAAGCAGAAATCACAGTGCAATCAGCAAAGCACGGAAAATCAAATGAGTGAATGAAAATGACAAATAATGGACAATTAACGGTCTCCTCCTTTTTTCTTTTCCTCTCTAGAGAGTCTAGATTATGGTGTCAAATGGAAACATGCCACAGTTCAATTAACATAATAATCAAAACACGGTTATTAGAAAACGACAGAGTGAGCACTGAATCAACATCATTATTAACGAGGATGACAACCCTACTAATTGACTAGGTGGCAAATAATCCAAAATAATTAAATGCCACATCAGAATTCCCTAAAGCTGTTCTGTCTGAGACAGACAACAGACAAATTCATGATGTAATGAATACATCCAAACTCTCTTCTAGTGCAAAGACCTAAAAAGGCCTCGTAAGGTTTTAGTAATATGTTGGGTTTCCATAGTTTTAACATGAGTACTTAATTAAGTGATTCATTCTACAAAAACTTCTTCATTTGCATTGTTAAAATGCAAGGAATCTTTTTTTTTTAAGCTGATAGCCCCAGAGAGTAGGAACCTGGTTTGTCCTCTCTATAAAAAGTCAGCTCTTCCTCTAGAAATGCAACCAAGGCCACAGAAACCAGCTCATTAAAGACTAGTGCTGGGTCTCCATCGGCCATGTTCAACCAGCCCACAGCGTGGCTTAGTGAAGTGTGAATGAAAAAACATGAGCACACTACTCCCTTGTAAAGGCTTAATTAGAGCATGAGGAAAACAGTATTCAGAGCTATGCTACATTCCTGTTTAAGTAGTACGCTTCTGTTTGTTTAAATGATCAAAAATAAAATGGGGTGATATCTCTGTCCCTCGGCCAATCTGTTTCTTCACACATTTTTTGCCAGGGTCAAGTCAGGAATGAAAAGTCAGCCGAGTCAGCGATGTTCTGGCCAGCTTTGGATGCAGTCTGGTCCAGCTTTGGCCAAGGGCAAAAGACGATGGGCACAATCAAAAGTTACTAGCCATATTATACATAACTATGCATGAGAATATGCTTTATTTTGAATCCAGTCCTAAATCATTCCACATTTAAATTCTACTACGCGGTCTACATGGTCATGTGTACACTCTGTCTCTTTTACACATATACACGCATGCTCTCTTGATCATCCTGCTTGGTCTTTTTACTGTCAGCTGTTTTCTGGAGTGTGTGTATGTGAAGATGTGTGAAATACAGACCGAATGAAACAGTGAGAATGTATGCGTGCAATAATGTGCTTGTTGCCCCTTACAAAAAGTTCAAAATGACTGTTTTATCCCTTTTGGAAACAGAATACTTTGAACCATACAGTGAGAGGAAGCAGGTATATATATATATATATATATATATATATATATATATATATATATATATATATATATACATATATATATATATATATATACACACCCACAGGAGCTTTCATGACATCCCATTCTAAATAGGCATTAATCCCACAGGCATTAATATGGAGTTGGTCCCCTCTTTGCAGCTATAACAGCTTTCACTCTTCTGGGAAGCTTTTTTTGGAGTGTGTCTGTGGGAATTTTTGCTCATTCATCCAGAAGAGCATTCGTGAGGTCAGACACTGATGTTGGACAAGAGGGCCTGGCTCGCAATCTCTGTTCTAGTTCATCCCAAAGGTGTTTGATAGGGTTGAGGTCAGGGCTCTGTGCGGGCCTTTATGGACCTTGCTTTGTGCACTGGGGCTCAGTCATGGTGGAACAGAAAAGGGCCTTTCCCAAATGGTGCCCACAAAATTGAAAGCATACAATTGGCCAAAATTGTCCAAAGTATCCTGGTACGCTGAAGCATTAAGATTTCCCCTCACTGGTAGTAAGGAGCCTAGCCCAACCCCTGAAAAACAACCCCACAGCATTATCACTTCTCCACCAAACTTGGCACAATGTAGTCAGGCAGGTAACGTTCTGCTGACATTTGCCAAACCCAGACTTGTCCGTCAGACTGCCAGATAGAGAAGCATGATTCGTCGCTCCGCAGAATATGTTTCCACTGCTCCAGTGGCGGCATGCTTTAAACCAAAAAGTATGTATTCATAAGTATAAACAAAAAACAGAATTGAAAGTTCCACATATCAAGGCTGCAAAAATAAAAAAAAAAAGTTCTTGTGCAAATCGCACCTGGTTTCCTTACAAAAGGTGTTGCTATTTGTTGGGAGACATATCATAAAACGAGCAATCATCTAGCTATCATGATGAAGGTGAAAGAGCTTCCCAAGTTCTCAGGGACAACATAATTAAACAACACTTGAAAGAAAAAAGCTACAGTGCCATAGCAAAGACCTTAAACATCCTTGTCAGTTCAACTGATTCTATAATATGTAATTGGAAAGTTCATGGAACCACAACTAATTGTCCTGGACAAGTGCACCACTCAAGATTTCACAACACCCTCTCAGACTAATGATAAGGAAAGTAAGAGAGAAGCCAGCAGTCAGCTGGAAAGAGTTGCATTATGACCTGAAAGCAACAGGACCAACACAAACAGAGAAGCAATGAACTGCACCTCAATTATCTCCTTTCCTACACTCCATGCAAAACTCCTCTGTTAAAAAAGAAGCACAGAGATGCATATCTAAAACTTGCACATGAACATTTAGATAAATCAGAACTCTTTTGCATCAATGCAGTCTGGTCAGAAGAAACAAAAACAGAACTCTTTGGTGTGTCATCCCAAGCACATCACACCCACAGTGAAGTATGAAGGTGAGAGCATTATGACATAGGGCTGCTTGCCTGCAATCAGTACTGGGGCATTAACATAATCAAATGGAGCAATGTACCGGACATACTGGAGGAGGATTTAATCTCAGCAATCAAGAAAGGTGGAGAAGATTGAGGGGTCAGCAATACAATGACTGAAAATATGAAGCCAAAATAAATGCAGACTGGTTTCTTAAAAAGTAAAAGTGCTCGCATGATCTAGCCATTCTTCTGACTTGAGTCTCATTGAAAAATTTGAGAAGGATTTTGAAATTGCAATTACAGCAGAAGGGCCCTCATAATCTTGGGCAATTGAAGACAGTTTGCCAAAAGGAATTGGCCAAAACTAAATCACAATGCAGCAAAAAGTTCATTACTTCTTACCGTAGATGTTTCAAAGTTGTAATTGACAACAGCTTTGCAACAACATACTAATGTTATCAATTTTTGGTGTCTGAGTAGTTTTTCTATATGTTTAAACATATCTTAGTATGTGCTCATGATTAGAGGAAGGCGATATGGCAAAAATCTAACATTGCGATACTTCAAGAAATTTTCACAATACACAATAGATCTCAGTATTGATTTTTTCAGACATCTGATCAGTTGGAACAGAGAACAGAACCAGTATTGCTACATTTTAAAAAGTACTATCAAAAACTGCAAACACAACAATTTCTATTCAATATTTTGGATACCATGCTGCATTACATCCAGTTAAATGTGACTAATGAAATAAGCAGTTGGTCAGTGTTCTACAAGTACTGACCGATATGCATGATATGTTTCGAATAGCATAGTGTATTGTGTTTTGACACAATTTAATATAGTAATTTTGCCTAGCCCTACTTATGAATACATATTTTTTTTTCTTAATTTAATAGTGCCAGTCTTCAAGTAGACACAGTATCGCACATAAATGTGAACACTGCATAGATCAGGATATTCCCCAGAGAGGTGGAGAGAGAGAGAGAGAATCATTCGTCACCACTGAAGCAGTAATTAAGAGAGGGAGCCTGATCCCATGTCATTAACTCGGGACCAGATTTTTTTTTTCCATTCATTTTAAAGGCTCCTCATTTGTCCAGTGGTTCTGTAAAGGGTAAAACCCTTTTCAATGTCCCTCTCGCTCTAAATGTTCAGCAGCCTCCTAGTTTTATTAGCGTGGCCTATTCTCAGGGTACAGAACCACTGTTTAATAAGACCTTTACATCTGGAAAGCAGCAGCGGCATTAAAAAGCATGTGGTTATGTAGCAGAAGGTGAAGAAAGTCAGGCTGTGTAGCAATAAAGGAGTTCAAGTTACTACATCTGCCTCCCAGACCAAAAAGGTGAACCAATTACCAGCCAACCTCTTGCTCCCCTACCACGAGCAGAGTGTAGGGTGAAGCACTGCGCTTCCTCATTTACCACATACGTGCACAACTACATCAGAACACTATGCTGTTAGCTGACACTTAGCTCACATGCTGAACTAAGACAAGGCACCGCAGGGTGAGAAGGTCTAGATAGTCTGCTCTCCTGTTGAGACCATCTCAGCACAATTGGGCCATGACATCAGCTCAGATCAGGTCAAGATCTTGAACGTCATTCCAGCTCCAGTCAGGAAATGCTAAAGCAAAACCCAAGACTAACTCAGGAGCAAGAAACATGTTGATTGATTTATTGGGCCTTATAGGAGACAAACCAAAAACAACAATTATAAAATTATTATTTCGATAATGCTTGACTGAGATCTTTTTTGATAAAATGATTATGCAGTTTGGTTCCTCAATAAGGCATTAACAGCAAAGGCTTGAACGCTGAAGAACTGCTACTTTGGTACACTAGGTGGAAACGTGTGTATTTTACATGCTTAAATGTTGGCATATGTTGTTTTGCCTTTGAGACCTAAATATCAAGCCAGAGCTTCTTTTTGAGCCTGTGCATGTGATGTAAAGATGTATGACATGGTCCGAAAAACTCCCACAGAATCTGACCTGACACCTCTGATTTTTAAATTATTATTCGACGCTTTAAATGGTAACTCACAGCAGCTTCTACAGTGCAGCAAATCTTACATAGTGCAGCCTTAATTCATATGCTCTGCAACACTGTTTGTGATGATCATTGACAGCATACAGCTACCAAAAGGGACAACATCGCCATCATTAGTACATGCAATTTCCAATTTTGAGCGTCTAAAAAACATCTGAATGGACCATTTTGAAAACACATGCCGTAAAAAAAATTTTATGTCAAAGATTACAAATTTTCCCTTTGCCTATAAAGTGATCATTTCAGAGAAATAAAGATTTCTTTATGACAGTGACAGTACATTAATTATTGATAATTATCACATGATATGAAAATATATCTCATGATAAGAATTTTGGTCAGTTTTTCCAGTTCTTAGTTGTAGTCTGAAACACTGCACAACACCAAACGCATCATCCTGTGACTCACAGTGACTGCTGAATGAAATTTTATATCATATCTGGAAGGTTTAATGAAAGTTTAAGGCAGCATTCTGAACTTCAACCCAAACCAAAGTACCAAGCAGAACCAACAGCGGCCCCTGAAATTTTTCTCAGTCTACTCACCTTAGGCTGCGAGTTGCCAGGTACAGGGACATATCTGGCTGCCACAGCAACCAGAGAACAGAGCAAGGCAGAGGAGAAGAGGATGGCGGTGAAAGCCAGGAGCCAGGGTAGGGAGCAGAAGTAGCAGGACGCCTCGGCGGAGGTGCACACCAGCACGTGTACGGAGGAGCCCAACAGGCAGAGCAGGTAGAAGGGCAGAGAGAGGAAGGCAGAGGCCACGGGGACATCCACGCACGCTGCCCCACTCAGAGCCTCCGGCATGGCCAACAGCAACAGCACCAGTACCTGCAGCAAGCATACAGAGGAATGCAGGTTCAGTATATCAATAATAATTACACTGAACTGACTTATTGACATGAGAAAGCGAGTAGACACAAAAACAGTCTGACAGCTCTTTCTTCAGTAGTTACACATCCCTCGTCTGTACCTGAACAAAGCAGTATATAGACGTATAGTTTATATAGACGTATGCAAAAAGTTTGAATACCTCTAATCAGTTATCACATCCTCTACAGCAAGCAAACTTAAATGGCTTTTTTTGGCAAATTTTAGTACACAATTTCCATTTCTATATTTGTGGAGTTTAACGTATTGGAAAAATAAGCAAACAAACAAACAAACAAACAAAAATACATAAATCTAAACCTTTGCACAAGCCTCATTTTATGTTTTTTTTTTCCAATGTTAAATTCAGTAAATAAACAGTAATTGTGCATAATAAAATGTAGATAGATAAAAATAGAGTTCTCTGTAGATGGTGTGTTATTATTATTATGTCTTATTTTCACTTAGAAAATCAACAAAACATAATTTGACCTGGGTGCCCAAACTTTTGCATACATCTGTATATAGAATTAAAAAAGTTTCATTCCATTGCATTCCATTCCAAAGGATGTAATGAATTTTTGAAAAAGAAATAAATAAATAACAATAAAATAACAGCCAACATACAATGGAAATCACACTGTGATTTCTCTAATGAAGGTAGTATTGATCATAATATTGCACTGATATTTCTCATATGTGTAAAGCCACTCCTAACTGTGTACATCATGAAATTAAAAATTCCTGAAAGTGGTCTATAATGCATTTTAGAACAAAACCTTCAATTACTTGCAATTAAATATAATTCAAATATAATTAAAATGATTAAAAACTAATTAACCTCTTAGCCCACACTTCACACTCATAACATCACTGCATATAACTAAACTCACTCTCTTAACAACACACCACGTTATTTGTTTGATAACAGTTACAGAATAATTTGCAGTAGCTGCTGAATGACAAGCCTATAGGTTAATGGTGTACACTCCTAAAAAAGGGTTCTTCAAGGATTCTTTAATAAAGTCAATGATTATATAAAGAACCATCACGTTGGTACTATACAGAACCCTTTTTAGTGGTATTAACAAAAATTAGCAATTTATTTAGTGCAAACATATTTAATTTTTAAAGCAGTATGTATTGTTAGACATTTTTGCAATATTATTATAGTTTTATAATTTCATTGTCATGATATACAGTCTTTATATATCGCTGCTGTCAAAACCTTGTATCTCCAAAATGATAACTTTACAGGAGAAGGAAAAAACATTCTTTACTGTTAAGGTAAGTCAATGGAACCAGACTTTTTTCCAAATTATTTTGGGCCATTTCTTTTGGTCCACTCATAAAGTAAATACAATGTAAAGGGCAACAGGAATTTCTGATTTATGTCAAAATGACAAAAATGGAGATTTTGAAATGGAGAAGAGGTTTTGTTCCGACAGCAGTGATATGTACAAGAAAGCCCCTCATCATAGTCAAACAAACTATAGTTATGTTTTATTTACTAATCGTTGCTAATTAGTTGCTAAAAGGTTTTATTTGTTACTGAATTGTAAGCCTGAAAGCCAAACTAAAGAGAATCACTGGTAATAATATGTCAATGGACATTTTTGTTGATGTAGTTACTGAATAATTAACTTTGTTGTTAAGGGTTAAGATCATTCAAACAGAAAATAAACATGTATTACTGCCATGTATTAATTACTATGCATTGTTTGTTGTCATTTTTGTGATATTATTACAATTGTATAGTGATTTTATGATGATATACATTTCTGTACAATTACTGCCTCGAAAAACGTATTCAAACCACTTCAAATATCTTCAAATAAAAAAAAAAAAGAAAAACTGAAAAGTGCTGCTTAAGTATTTAATCCCTTCAGACTAATATTTGGTAGAAAAACATCTTGCTGCAATAACAGCTTTATGTCTGTTGGGGTACATTTCTAATAGCTTTGAACACTGTTTGGGAGAGATTTTTGCACGTTGTTCCTGGCAGATTTACTCCAAGTTGTTCAGGTTGATTGGATGATGCTTGTGGACTGCAATTTTCAAACAATACCACAGATTCTCTATTAGAGATCTGAATCTAGGCCACTGCAAAACATTCACCGTTTTGTTGTTCAACCACTCCTGTGTTGCTTTGGCCTTGTGCTTAGGATCACCGTCCTGTTGACAGGTAAAGCTTTAGTTTTTTAAGCAGACTAAAGCAGGTTGCCAGTATCTCCCTGTATTCTGCACCACCCATCTGTTTTTAAGCTTTAAAAAGATGCCCAGTCCCCATTGACGAAAAGCATCCCCATAACACCCCCATACTTCACTGCTGTGATGGTGTTTGTTGAGGTTAGAGCAGAGTTAGGTTTGAGCCACACACAGCATTTTCATTTTGGACAAAAACCTACATTTTTGTCTCCTCTGACCACAAAACTTCATCCCACATTTTAGCTTGGTCACTCTGATGTTTTCTGGCAAACGCTTTATGTGCTTTGAAGTGTTTTTCTTCAGCAAGGCTTCTTTCTAGCCACCTCACACAGGCCAGTTATAAGCAGAGGTCTTAATATTATTAACTAGTGCAATTTCACTCCAGTCTCAGCCACTGAACTCTGTATCTCCTTCAAAGTGATTCTTGCCCTTTCTGTGGCTTCCCTCACAAGTCTCCTGCTTGCTCTGATGCTGAGTTTTGAGGTACAGCCTTGTGTAGGCAGTGCCTGGGTGGTATGACGCAGTTTCCATTCCCTCACAATTGATCCAGCAGTGCACACTAGGATAGCCAAACACTTGGATATTATTTTGTAGCATATTCTTGTGCATGTCTGCAACTTTATCTCTAATTTCCATACATTCAGATTCACAATCTGACCAGTGGTGCTTAAAATAAAGAGTCTAATATTGAGAAAAGGTGAATGTTTTTTTATTATTTACAATTAGAGTCCAATTGTAAGTCAACTGTGACCTTGATAGGGTAATATCTTTCACCTGTGTAAACTTGGAGCTTCCACAGCACAGGGGTCAAATACTTATGCAAACAGCATTTTTCAGTTAGTATTATTTTTGCCACAGAATATTATCTTAATAAAACCAGTACCACTTTAAATTAAGTGGGTTTAAGGGGTTAATACATTTTGAGGGTAATTCTTTTAAAATTAAATTTGACAGCAGAAAATATCAAAGTGTCATTAGTAATCTAGATACATCTGATGACTTTTAAGGTAGTTGAATGCTTTTGCAAGTCACTGTATGTATCATGAAGTCCCTCATTGCAAACAAACTACAGGAAAGTTTAGTTGCTAATTGTCAGTGAACTTGTTGAGAAGTCAAAACAACCAGCTCACACGTTGTAAACAAATGTGTGCTGAATTTTGACCAAACGACTAGACTGAAAATGTACATTCAATCCAGCCATTCAGTACACATTTATTTACAATGCTTATTTGTTTAAACATTTTAAACAGCAGCCTTGCCAGATCAAGCAGACTGATCACAAGTGAAAGCTTATGTGTTTCAGGATGCTCAAACAAGTCTGCCATCTTTTTCAGAGGAGTGTTCTTTGGCATTTTCCCTACCAATTTCCTATCTAATCCTAGAGCCTGATCCACAGGCTAAACGTCTGCACACACAGTCCATTACTCTCCCACCTACCCTGCCATTAGTGTAGTGTATGTTTGCAAACAACATGTGGACGCCTTCATAATCCCTGAACCGTATATATACTTCATAGGTACAGACCACATAAGCTGCAGAGAACGAAATCTTGAAATAAATTAATGAGGAGGATCGCTGATGTAAAAATCTAAAAACAGAAATACCTCACATTGAGCTAGTACTGGGTTTTATACACACACACACACGCGCACACACACACACACACACACACACACACACATACACATATGTATATATATATGAAATTCTACAACCACAAACCTTAACTGCAAAAACATTGGGACGGTATGTGACAGACAAATAAAAACAGAAAGCAGTGATTTAAATCCTCTTTGATGTATTAAAAAATTGGGACAGGAACAATTTAAGACTAGGAATGCTGTGAAATTGTGATGCAATCTTACTTGGGTATAAAAGAAGCATTCAATAAAGGCCTAGCGCTTTATGAGTAAAGATGGCCAAGGCTTGCCACTTTGTCAAAAGATGTGAACAATCCAGTTTGTGAACAATGTCCCTAAACAAGTGACTGAAAGCAATTTTAGGTATTTCACTTTCTGCTGTGCCTAATATCAATCAAAAATTAAAAGAATCTGACAAGTGAACCTTTTAGAATTTTATGGAACTAACTGACAGTGTGTCTTCCAGGTTAACCCCTGAAAAAGGCCAGAACCTGCCAGCAGGCCCAAATTTTTATTACACACTTCTATGTTCTAAGAATATCTCAACCAGTTTGCACTGGAGTTACTGTAGTTACTGAATAATAAGACTTGGTATCGAATAAGCCTGGGATTTTAAGGGGTTAAAGAAGAAAAGGATGACCTGTATTGCTTCCAGCATAAAGTTCCAAAGCCAGAGTCTGTCACTGAATGGAGTGTATTAGTGCCCAATGCATGGGTAACATGCACATCTATGAAAGCATCATTAACACTGAAAGATATATTCACATTTTGGAGGAACATCTGGTGCCTTATTGATGACGTCTTCTTCAAGGACATCCATTTTTACATGACAGCATCAAGCCACATTCTGCATGTGTTACAGCAGCATGGCTGCATAATCAGAGACTGTAGGCACTGGACTGACCTTCCTGCAGTCCAGTCTCCAATTGAAAACGTGTGGCATAGCAAACAGCACAAAATATTACAATGAAGACCTGGTATGGTTGTGAAGCTGAAGACATACAGTGAAAAAAAATGGAAAAAATAGGATCAATTGGTATCTTCAGACCCTAAATGAAAGTGCTGTTAAAAGGAAAGGTGATGTATCATCAACACATAATCCACTGAGAACACTCTTCTGCACATTGTAATGCATACATGAAGAAGAAAATAGTGACCTGTGCAGAACTTATGGCACATTTCATGTTTTGTATTTCAGTTTGTCCCCAAAATGTTAAAACTGTACATTAACATTTGTCCCCTGTAAAGGCTGTGTTAACTTAAACATTGAAAAACAATGAATTTGAGGTGTTCAAACCTTGCCCACGACTATATCTGATACTGTGGCACTGTAATAAATTTTGAAATATCATGACATTAAATTTTATCAGTCCTGTTCAGCATTAGCTTGAGCTGCTGAATGAACTCCTGCACAGTCTCTCTATGGAGCAGTGCCTTCAGGAGAAGTGGCTGTAGAAAAGGACAAGCTGCTGCTGCGGTGTCCTTGCTTCGCATCAAAGTGGTGCCAGTCAAAGTCGGGGCTTTGAAAAGCATACTCTTCTCTTCCTTGCTCTGCTGTGCACCCTCGCTCGTCGCTCCCTCCAGCTGAGAATGGTTCCCTCTCCGGGACCAGAGCTGGAGATGAGGACACCGTTTGATGAGATATGAGATGCCTCAAAAACTCCACAACTTTTAATCCAAAAGAAAAAAAAGAAAGCTTCAGCCGAAGGGGGCAGAGGAAGTGCAGCTGAATCATTCTTGTTAGTTTTCTAAAATGGGGAAAAGCTCTTCTGAATGCACAGCAGAGCCTGTTTAGTGTTGCCATAAAAGAGTAGAAATGGCTTTGGAGGCTGGTAGGAGCATGCAGAGTCCAAAGCAGGACACCAATGTTGTGTCAGCTTTTTGGGTTACGCTTACAAACGTCTAAATAAAACTGTAAAGTTTGAAAACATTTTGAATCCTGAAAGTATCAAAAGACAGGAAACGACCTTTATTAGCTCATTGGGCTCAGATTCATGAAAAGAAAAATGCCTAAAGTTTGCAAACATTTTGAAACTTGAACGCACAAATTTACAAACCACAACTTAATCAGCTTCTTTAAACAAGCTTTTTAGGCTCTGCTTCAAGAAAAAGGACAAAACGCCTACATAGGACTAAAAAGTTTCAAAACATTTTGAATCCTGAAAGTACTAAAGCACAAACAACCATGCATAAACTGAAGACCGTATCTGTCCCGCAGATCACAAGTCCGCAGTCAACCAAACTGAAACGTCCCAATGGCTGCGGGAGCTTGATGTTTACCGGCCTGATTTTGTTTGCCGTTTTCCTGCTCTTTTCCCCCATCAAATGACCCATTTAAATGATAAAACAGACAAAGGAGAAAAAGAAATATAAATAAGCAATAAATCAAATACATTTCTGTTGTTGCTGTTGGGTTGGTTGTGTAAGCAGGGATGTCTGTGCATTGGTAATTTGTTTTGGAGGCACCTCATGGGACGCTTGCTGCATCTCACAGCTCTCAAAGCATAGGCTCGTCCTTTGAGTTGTTGAGTATAATAGCGCTCTTTCATAAACGTAACCTCCAGAGAAAGTGTCTTTGGAGATAAAACGGACGAAAAGACCTCCACCACAAGAGAGCAGCACCAAACACGCTCCACAGGGTAAACGTGCTGACTTCTGAAACATCTACACTTCGTTTAAACACAATAATTAAGCAACATGGAAACAGAGCACGACTATACAGGGGTGTCACATGTCAACACAGCATCAGGCAAAACAGCTTCATAGCAGGAGATAGGAGAAAAAGCTGTTACGGTACAAACTTCATATTCTTAAATTACAGTTAAACATAACCCCAATTCACACTGTGGGGGATAATACGCATGAGATATAATACATGGTAATTGTCAAGCTGGAGGATTAAACTGCTTAATTGCATGCAGCTGACAAAAATCGTCAAAGATCTCCTCATACTCTTTCCTATGGGAAAAAGAAACCTGCAGTTCTGTGAAAGTGCAATCAATTATTTAAAGGCTGCAGTCTACAGTGAGTCAATAAAAGTGGAAGAATCTTTGGGCCGTAGGGACATGCGATCAAAATACCTCAGGTTTTCAAGAGGCCTTCAGCTGATCTCTATTGACTTGAAATGTCACCCAAAATGTATCTGGGGAACTATGATGGTACAGTTACAGGTTACTGTTTGGAGAAGAAATGTTGAGCATGAAAATGAACTCCAATCAGCTCAAATTAATGAATAGTCTAATGCAGTGCTTCCTGATCCTGGACTGGGAGTCCCCAGGGTACAGGAAAGTATTGTATTTTTCGCTCCTGAGCTAAAAGCACTTCACCAACTAAATCACCTGTGTCAGTGCGAGGAAAGGCGTGGAGTGGGGGGCTCCTGGGCCATATCTTAACAAAAACAATGATTTATCTGACATTCCACAGCCAACTTCTAACTTTTGGGACGTTGGTGTATGTTGAGGAGCTTCTGTCAATGTGTTTCAAGACTCTACTGTTTGCAACTTAGGCCCAGATCTCTAAAAAAAACTGTCATCAGGGACGAGAATCAATCTAATGAAGCACTTAATGACTTGGCTGGAGGCTAACTGTAGAGCAAGGGAGCCCTTCAGGCCAAGAACACACAGCCCATGGCCTTGCAGTACCTCGAAACTCTACAAAGTCTGCCTTGCATTGCAAAGTCATGTTTTCAGGCTACTCATGTATGGATCTATGTCTGATCATAGACTGTTTCTTCAGGTTGTGATGTACACATTTAATTTGCTAAATGAGGAGGAAGATGTCTAGCTGTTCACACAGCACAGGCCAGCAGTAATACTGACACATAGTAACACTTAATAATATGGAACAATAAAGAAATTATTATTAAGTTTATAAGTTATAATTAGGTTTAAGGCAATAAAAGGTAAAAGTATAAAAACCGAAATCCAGGGTTCTAGTCTGACTTCAAGACTGAGAGTTTGCATGAGTGCATACACTGTACCTGTAATATGAGGCTCATGCCAATGATCATGGAGTACATGTCGTATTTGCCCAGCTGTTTACTGAGGGCCGCACTCATGGCTTGAAGGGCTTCCAGGTACTGTTTGAGCAGTTTCTTGCCCATGTTGCCCAGGACCTCTGACGTGTTTCCCTCCATATACAGCTTCATCCAGTTCCCATGAGCCTTCTCTGCCATGCGAAACTGCTCATAGCCATCTTCTGTTTGAGAGAGAGAGAAAGAGAGAGTGTTGAGATTGAGAAAGAAATAATATAATAACAAATAAAGAGGGTTTTGCAACAAAACATGCCATACCCTTACAGAAAAGAATGAGTGTCCTAAGCCAATTCTATGTAAAGATCTACAATACTGTGCAAAAGTCAGAGTTATTCATATTTCAGCATTTCAGCAAAAAAGCAGCATATATTTAACTAACTAAATATAATATCCTATTTTCAGTACTAAGTGTGCCCACCCTTTACCTTTAATCCATTCTTTTTGGGAGATTTGTTTTCAGTTTTTCAAAGTTCAGTCTTGGTAGTTGGCTGCAGTTTCTGCTTCTTACAGTCTAAGCCTAAACACATTCAATGATGTGGAGGTCTGGGGTTATGAGTACATGGCTCTGAGAACACCAGCAGCTTATTTGTTTGATTTGCAAATTTTCTTCTTTTTTGTCTATTTCCTTTTTGTCAGTAACAGCTTCTTGACAGCTACACATCCTTCCCGACCTATAGTGTAGCTGTCTTCTCACAGTGGAAGGATGGACAGAAACCCCTGTGGATTCTTTCAGATCTGAAGCAAGAGTGCAGCTTGATTTTCTCCTCTCTCTCTAAGATTCAGGTAGTGTTTATCTGATGGTGATAGTTTTTGCTGGTCTACCAGGGTCTTGCACAGTTCTCTGTATCTTTCAATAATTTTTAAACTCCAGTTTTGGAAACTCCTGCTTTTACTTATTTTTCTCCGACTTTCTCCTCCCCTATGTAAGCAGATCATCTTATATCTGATCTCCTCAGAAATACCGCCTGAAAAATAAACAACTTGTACTTAAAGCTAGACCTCTTAGATGGAAATGTGCAATCTCCATAGAAAAGCATTGCCAATGCCAAGCATCAGCTAGAGAGGTACAAAACCCCTCAGCATTGGGCTGTGGAGCAGTGGAACTGTATTTTCTGGGGTGATGGAGCCCCATTCAACACATTCGGAATGAGTTTAAGTAGATCCTGTTTGTGATCCTGAACTAATCATCCAACAGCAGTACCTGACCCCACTTATGCTCTTGTGGCTGAATACAATCAAATGCTCACAGAAATGTTTCCGATATCTATTGTAACGCCTTCTCAGAAGAGCAGATAGCGTTACTGCAGCAAAGAGGACACAAACTCCCTCTTAATATCCTTGATTTCAGAAGAAATGTGGGATGAGCAGGCATCTACAAACCTTTGGAGATATAGCATATCTTCATCAGTATAATGTTGATTTTGCAGACCTAAAAATCGAGCCGGACCTTGTTTTTGAGCCTGTGTGTGTGACATTAATAAGTAAAGACATCCAAAAAATGGTCCAAAACTCCTATAAAACCTGACCCGACTCTTCTGACTTTTAAAGTATTGTTTTAGCCTATATAGGGTGACTCGCAGCTGACTCAGTAATACTACTTCTTTTGAATTAAACAAAGCTAAATGCCTGTTTTGACTGAAGAATAAATAAATGAAGGGTGGTCTCTGACTTCTGCACAGTACTGTACATACATATAAAGATATGTGTGCATATGTGAATTGTATGCATAGCGTACAGGTATGTAAACAACTCTTTTTTTCCCTTCATATTATTTTCAGTACTAGCATTTCTGTCATACCAACAGAATATGGGAATGGGAACAGTTGTCAATTCTGGTTCATGCAAATAAATCTAGCCGAATCTGAACATCAATCAGAGATAAAGAGATATTAATGTAGAAACAAATATATCAGACTTTTTTTCTTAATTTATAAAAAAAAAAAACATGTGTAAAACATTGAGGACATATTGTGTGTTCAGAGTTCAGGAGAGATAATAGAGTGGGTAAATAATCAGCAAAATATATATACAGTTCAGGGACTAATGTACTGGAGGAGTTATAATGGGGGAAAAACAAGCTACAACCACCTGCCTATCGCCTGCCTGCCTGCCAGCCACACAGTGAACATGCAGTGTGGCTCTGGTGGCACTGATGCGTTTGAGAGCAGACAGGGGAGCCCAGGGCGATCTCAGCAGGCAACTCCCAGAGCGCTAACAGCCATGTCAGCTTCACACAGCTCACTGCGTGAACTCTCTGTGCCCCACCGCGCAGAGCCATTAGCAAAGTACACCTCTACACTACTGCCACACAATCTGACACAATCACTGACTGGACACATGCTAACAGTGCTCACTGCACCTAACCACGCTGGGAGTCAGTATGAGTACACCCACGGGTACACAAAAAAAGACACATACACAAATACACATCCTTCTTCCAATCTCCAGGCCACGTAATGCTTCTACCATTATATTCCCTTCTATCTTTTGCTAAGTACAGGTTTACTCTGATCTGATAAACAAATACGGTACAAAGACAAGATATTTAATGTTTTATCATCTCAACTTCATTATTTTTAGTAAAGATAATGTCGTTTTGTCTGTAACACATTTCAAAAAGTTTTGAAACTTTGGGACATAGTCCATTTAAGATTAGGAACCACAAATAATCCAACAGTTTAGATTTGAAGTATTTCACCTTCTAGAGTGCATATCATCATCAAAAGATTCAGGAAATCTGGAAAAATCTCTGTGCATAAAGGGTAAGGACAAAACTCACAAATGAATGCCTATGACCTTCGACCACTTAGACAACACTGCATTAAAAACCGCATGCTTCTGTGATGGATATTACCACATTGGCTCAATAAACACCATTCTTCACTGCAACCACATATACAAGCAAAGACTTACTATACATAGCGCAACCCAACATCTGGATGTCAACAACATCCAGAAACGCTACTGACTTCTCTCAGCTTGAGCTCATCTTAAATGGACTGACGCACAGTGGAAACGTGTATCGTGGTCTGACGAGTCAGACTGTTTATGGAAATAATGGACGCCGTTGTCCTTTGGGCCAAAGAACAAAAGGACCATCCAGATTATTACCAGCAGGGACGACCATGCTTATTTTAATATGATAATGCCAAGCCACACTCTGTATGTATAACAACATGGCTGGGTATTTAGAGAGTGCAGCTAGACTGGCCTGCTTGCAGTCCAGATTTGTCTTCCAAGGTGATGTAACACAGTTACAGAAGTGGCCCTGTCACAACTGTGTTTTTGCACATTTTATAAATTGATTTTTAAACATGATTTGAATGTGAAGTTTGCATGATGCTAATTGTTAGGGTACAAGCTTCCATTACTTGTTAGCAACATTAGCCTCAGAGCTCTAGTACAAAGCTAAAGAAACAAACTCTGGACAAAATCATGTCTTGGCTAATGAACTGCATTTAGGATATGAGAAAAATTGTGTAAATTCGATTTTTTTTGCAAAACTAATCTTTTAACCTTTGTTATTCTATGTGCTATGCAGTACTCTCATGCTGCTTCTCTGAATTTCATACTTTGGCTGGTTTCTTTCTCCCCAGCCCTTCTGATCTGCATCTCTGTAGTGTAAAGCTCGGTTTGAATAATACGGGCATTATGGTGATGAATGGTAGCTCTCATTACGTTGGCGAAAGGAGCGTGAGAGCAAGATACAACCGCCTGGAGTCAGGAGCATGAATCAGATGGCAGAAATGGTGGCCAATCAGCTGGGACTCCCACCTGAGTCAACAGGACAGAACAGGCCAGCTCACTGCGTAGCCGAGCTGAAAACTAAGGGTAAAGCCTTATCCCAAAAAAGCCTCCTAAGAGGGTGGCTTCCAGACATTCAAGTCACATTTTTCATGAGCAGAGCGAAGCTTAGCTGCCTCAGCTGCCAGCTTGTTCATACTAGCTGGACAAAGAAATCCTGCTGAGAAGGTGCAGATGAGATTCAATACTGTGTGCTGCATGCAGGAAAGCCACATGCATGATCCAGTAGCCGATACTGTCTAGTCACTTTTAGAGCAGCACAATATTTATTGCATGGTAATCGTTATTGACTGATATTGGTACTGTCTGTAATTATTATTGCCTGATATTGGTATATTTGCCCAATATCGGTATACTGGCTGGATATCAAACATGTCTGAAACATGCAAATGAGCCTGCTAACTAATCACTAAATGTTTTATTGTGTGCTGTGAGCAGGGTGACAAATGAACACCTGCCACCTGCCAAAAACAAGTAACTATTTATATTTAAAGGGCAAATTTGCTTTGACACTGTGGTGAATTACCTAAAATAAGCTACTTAAAATCAGCTTAGGCTAATGCTAACAAGCAAAGATACAGCACTACTTGCAAACTTGCTAATGAAATGTAACTAATGTGAAGGAATGCCTGTAAAATCTGACTAGAGTAGAACAGAGTGTGGTATTTGAGAAGGATATTAGACAGGAATGTAATTCACACTGATAGCTAGCTAAATCTGCCTTCATGGATTCATATATGATATAGCAGTAATTAAGAGTATTATGACAGCACTGTGACATAATCTAAATATCAAATAAATTCAGAAAGATGGCAGATTTATCAATATGCGACAATGGTTGGGTGGCACAGCGGATAACATCAGCCTTGTACATGTAAAGGTAAAAGTTAGAATACACAGCTATACCAATAAGAGTTCTGCATAACTATACTGTATAAGATGACTTAATGTGATATTTAATGAATGCACTGGCAATGTATTATTATTATTATTATTATTATTATTTGTAGTAGTAGTAGTAGTAGTAGCAGTCATAGTAGCAGTAGTAAAGTCAAGCCAAGTCAAGTCAAAGTTTAGTCATATAGCACATTTTGCAACAGGCGGTGTCGCAAAGCAGCTTCACAGAAAAATCCGTGTCCAAGCCCCCATAAGCAAGCCAATAGCGTCAGTGGCAAGGAAAAACTCCCTAAAAGCAAGAGGAAGAAACCTTAGGAACCTTAGGAAATAGCAATTTGAAATTAGACTGAAAATAGAGTCTGATATTTGGGAAAGGAAATGGGAACGTAACATGCTAATTCACACTGATAACTAGCTCAATCTGTCTTCACAGATTCATACTTGGCATAGTAGTAGACAGAGT